TAGAATTCAAAGTAAAGAGTGTCTGGACTCTGGAGCAGTTTTATCTCTCAATGTATTTTTGTGTTTGTTWACCACACAACAGAGATGCTGAAGTTGTGTTGAATGTGCTTCATGTGTTCTTGACTCTGAGTGCAGTGATTTATTAAACATTCTGAAAACTAAAGTCACTTTAACTTTTTCTTGCAGGGACTCACTCTCTGAAGTATTTCTGCACTGGGTCCTCTCAAGTCCCAAACTTTCCAGAGTTTGTGGCTGTTGGTTATGTTGATGAAGTTCAGATCGGTTACTATGACAGCAACACAATGAAAGCAGAACCCAAACAGGACTGGATGTTGAAGACAGGTTCACAGTACTGGGAGAGTCACACTCGGAAGGCTTTCGATGCACAGCAGAGATTCAAAGTCGAAATGGAAATCTTAAAGGAACGCTTCAACCACACTGAAGGTTTGTTTACGTTTCACTCTCTCATAATAACAACACACACACACACACACACACAAACTTATTTATTTTAACAAGTACAAATCTCAACATTTTCCTTGATTTCCCAGAGTAACTCATGGATCTTGTTCAAAAATAAGATGTTCAGTGACTGATATTTATGAGTTTGTGCAACTTGGTATAACTACACCGGTCCAATGAATAGTGACCACGCATCATACAGATGTTCTGATCTTTTGAAGTTTTTTTTTCTCTCTCACATCAGCAGACACCGTGAAAACTATAACAGAATAAAAGACAAAAAACAAAGGTTTCAAATTTACATCTCTTAGGTATTTTCAAGTCTCTGTAGCAAGCGTCCAAACAAAGTCTCTCAAGCTCATATCTGTTCATAGACAGGCCCATGTACGAACAGCAACAGAAAATGTCAAATTACCAAGGTTTTCCTCTCCACAGTCGTCAAAGTGCTTGCTCATTGTGGGAACTGTTGGGTTTCTTTATATTTTGATTTTAAGGTCCTGATCTTCTATGTAAAGTGCTTTGAGATAATTTATATTTTGATTTGTCGCTATACAAATAAAATTGAATTGAATTGAATCTCTGTCTCTCTCTCAGGTGTCCACATTTACCAGTGGATGCACGGTTGTGAATGGGACGATGACACTGAAGAAGTTAAAGGTTATCATCAGGGTGGTTATGATGGAGAAGACTTCATATCATTGGACCTGGAGACAGAGACGTATATCGCTCCAACACCACAGGCGGTCATCACCAAACTGAAGTGGGATACTAATAAAGCTCTACTTGCATATAATAAGAACTACTTAACCCAGGTGTGTCCTTACTGGCTGAAGAAGTTCCTGGAGCTTGGGAAGAGCTCTCTGCTGAGAACAGGTGAAATCACATAACCTCCATGAACATGATGTTCCTCTTTCATTTCTTACTCTCTCTCTC